AGACATTGGAAGTTTCCCCTTTGAATATTCCTTAAATTTTATAAATACCTTTGAGTATTTCAAAAGCCCCATCAAAACAGTAACACTATTAATAGGATAACAGTATCATTTATTAATAATTTATGTTATAAATTTGAAATTAAAATTATATTTATATTTTATTTCTGGAAAATTTAGTTTATTTTTTTTATTTTTAGTTTAGTTTTGTTGGTTATATCAATAAGTCCAACCTTTTTTAGTTTATGATATATGATTATCATATTTAATATAAAGTTTTGTTATAGTTTATATATAGTCAGTTGACTAATATATGTTTATATATTTTTTTGTTTATTTGAGTTCCCAGCTATTTCTTACTAAATATAGTAAAATTTTTGAAGTTTATTATTCTCTTTGTTTGCTCTTATAACTTCTTATTCTTTTGTTTATCTATCTGTATTTGAAATAAGATGATAAAAAGATCTCAATTATTAATTAATTAAATAATTATCAATCTAATTTTTATCACATTTTCTTATAAAAGAATACTTAATTCATTTTTTAAAGTTTTTTAATTTATTTATTTTTATTAAATTTTGAATAATTATCCTTCTCTTATTATTACTCTTCTTGTATACATGAAAATTTTGAGTAAATAAAAATTGTTATTATGATTGATTCTCTGACTTAATTCATTGAGATGTTAATTCAATGTCACTTGAATTTTGTAATAGATATTCTCTATTATATATACAGTTTAAACTTTTTTATTCTCAATTCTATCTTAATGAAAGAGATCAGAATGTTATGTGTATTGATAACTTGTGGAATAATTCATATGTTGTTATAGCCTTATCAAAGGATCTTTGCTATAATGTCTATACATAAGATGAGAACTTATTTTTATTATTCACTTTCAAATTTATTATTTCTTAAATCAATAATGATTGTTATGACTGACTAAAACTATATAATTAAGTAGCAAAGTCTTCTCATATCTTACAATAAGCATGCAGAACTGAGGTCCAATATATTCAATTTATATTATATTTTTATACTCATTTTATTATCTTATAGTTTTATTTTACAGAGTAAAATTCTTAAATATGAGAAACCTGTTATGATATAAATATTTAGTTCTTATTTTATTGATTAGTTCATATCATAAATTTAATTAGATAATATTTTATTATATTCTATTAATTAATTTTATATTTATATTTTATTGAATAGCTATTTTTAGATAGTTATTATTTTATTGAATAATTATATATTAGATATTATTGGTTCTTAGATTTGTTTATTGATCTACATAATTAATTTAATGATGAAATTTATATAATATTAAAGTAAGTGAGTGAGCAAGTAATGTGTAATCAAAAAGCAAGCACTTTTTGTAATTTTAATATCAATCAAAAATAGCTTTAATATTTGAAAATTGAGTAATAATAACTTATATAAATATAACTTAGCTGAGCTCTTAGATTCAATAGCTCTCAGAATCTCAAGAATAATAAATAATAATTAAAAATATGTAATAAATTAATGATAAATTTGTCTAATAATAAAATTATACTTTATTATTATTAAATTATGAACTTATAATGAAATTACATATTTATTACATATTTATTACATAAAATCTTTTAATTAAACACTATTATTAATAATTTCAGGTTTTATTCTAGCTGATCACATTATGAACACACTGTTATCTCTCTTTAGATTCATTTATAATTATAGTTTAATGCTTGATACATTATATAGATTTGATTATATTATACTCTTCCACCTGTCATTCTTAATAAACTTTACTATAATTATCCTGGTCAAATAATTTATTATAATATTATTAAGCACTCACCAACTCTTTCAAGAACTCATATAAAATGATATCAATATCAATATCTCAATTTTACTGACAAACTAATATTAATAAAGATGATTAATTAATTGTTTAATTAGTCACTTAATAAATTAGCAAGCTATTTTCTTTTTGATATAATAAATTCTAACAGGATCAAATATAAAAAATCTATTTTAGAACTATATTTTTTATAAAATCATTTTTTTAATTATTTCTTATTATATTAAGTTCAGTTAAAAGATGTAATTTTTTATAAAAAATCTATTTTAGAACCATGTCTTTTATTATATTATTTTTTTAATTATTTCTTATTATATTGAGCTTAAAGTTAAAAGATGTAATTTTTAATTAAAATAGACTGTTTTCTCTTTTGCAAGCTTAATCTTCTAATTAAATATATTATAGTTTTAATTTTTTTAATTCAAAGTAATTGTATTAATTTATTTTAAATTAAAAAAATTATGTTAATTTATTTTATATTATTTAATAGATATATTTGACAAGTTTATTTTAAAACTTGTTGAAATAACTCAAAATTATTCTGAAGAATATATTAATATATTAATATACTTATATATTTGATTAAGAAATTATTTCAATATAGAGAATTTTATTCTAATTTAACTATTTTTAATATTGATAATATAAATTTGATTATAAATTTAATTAATACAATTTAATAAATTTAACTTTAATTTTATTTAATAATATTATATAGAATTAATGATGAATTAAATTTAATCATTATATAATAAAACTTGCAAAAAAAATCAATTATTATTATCAAAAACTATAAGATAATATTGTTATAGTTAAAAAAGAAAACTAAATAACTATTAAATTATTTGTAAGTTTTTTTATTATTTTATATATAAATAAATTTTTAATTTTCAAATATTAATTTAATAAATTTTTAGATTTGAACAAATAATTTAACAGCAAATATTATATAATCTATTCAAAATATAAAAACAATATATATTTTATCACAGAAAAATTATATTAAAAAAGCTCTCTTAAAAATCTGGCTTTATAAATTAACAAATTCTTTTTCTTTAAAAGTTAAAATTATTAATACATTATTATTTATTAAAATAATTATTTAATATAATAAAAAAGCAATAATTTGTGAATAAAATATTGATAAATTATTAATAATGATATTACAAGATTGAATTGATATAAATATTTTAATATTACTATTAATAATATATTTAATTACTGTTATTCTATTGCTTAACAAAAAACTAAATCACTTAATCAAGATTATTTAACTGTTGTTAATTATCTTAACTTAGAATTAAATCATCAAGTTATATTTTACTTTAATATTTTTTTAATAATATTAAATAAAATTTAATTGTAACTTATATTATTTTGATTTTTAATTATATCATCTTAACAAAAAATTATTATTCATATTTTATTTATTATTTGAAAAATGTTAGGAAGATATTATATTATTTGATTTTTGTATTGCTAACCTAAGAAAAATAATATTTATTTTCATATTTGCATTTTTATTATTATTATTGACTGGTATTTTAGAAAAACTTTAATAACTATTATATTTATTCATCATTATCAGTACTTCAGAAAAGTTTGATGATTATTTATTTTAATTTTATTAGTTTTTTGAAGTTATATCCAATTCCATTATTTTATTATTTGATATTTGAATTATAAGTTTTGATAGTTCAATAGTTTAACCTTTTATATGAATAATTACTTATTATTTTTTAGAAATATCATTATAAATAATGATTCTGAAAATGATGACAATACTAATAAAAAATAAAATTGAATTAAAATGTTTAACTATGATATGTATTGTTCAACAATTCAGATCTTATTTTCAATTCAATATTTCATTCATTATAATTATCAATCAAAATGATCAATATTAGTTGATGGTGCACATCACAGTTAGATCAACATCTATTACCATTTCACAATGCATCAATTGTTTATTTATTATACATGTACATCAATAAATTATATATCTAATCACCCATCAATTTATAATCCCAATAAAGTCGTAGTAAATTTATCCACTCTATCCACATCCTGTCTACTCATTTCTATTATCATTAACAATTTTTTAATTCCAATCGTCAGTTTCTTGTCGATTCCACTTTGTCTTAAAAAATCTAATGCTCTTTGCCGATCTTGATCATTGAATAAACTTAGTTCTCGTAGTACAATCTCCACCGAAGTTAAATCAGTGATATTGGGTACGTAGATTTCTGAATTGAAGCAATCTATCATATCCATTTGCTCTAATACAGGTCGTTCTGTCGTAGTGACCAGAATCAATAGACGTCGATCCTATCATAAATTAACGAAATAAAAATATTATAAATATCAAATAAAAAACTCTATTCCAAAATAGGACAACATACTTTTGGTGGCCGCTTCTTCAATAGAACCAATAAAGTCTGTAATACAGCGTTTGAAAACCGGGGACCAATTGGAACCCAATCTTAAAAAAAAAGAAAAATACTAGTGTTAATATTATTTCTTAATGACAGATAAACGAAGATTACATTTTATCCCGTACCAAGAAGACGTTCAATATTATCGATGACTATCACACTTAACGGTGATTTATAAGAATCATTGAAAACCTTGTTAATAACACTCATTTTTGCTGACTCTGAAAACCCTACCATGTTTTCAGGCGAAATTAACTTTATAAAAGGAAACTCTGAGGACATTGCCATTGTGGCAGCTAAAGCTGTTTTACCACTACCACCAGGTCCTAATAAAAAGCAAAATCCATTTGTTAATATCACATGATATCACTTATAAACAAAATATTTAATAAATATACCATGTAATAAAACACTAACAACCGGAGTTCTTTCACTCTTCCTCACTTGTTCTATGAATAATTGTCCATCAGATAATATTCTTTCAACAATAGGCGCGAATTGAATTATCGCATTTTGCACACACTGTTGCAGTTCTTCATCGCTAACACCAAATGCCGGATGAACTTCATCCAGTGCAGCTAAAAAATCATTTCTATTGACTTTCATATCTTCAACGTCTGGCGTGACTCCGGCAAGTGTACCCACTTTTACGTGTCTATTAAATGCAAAAGAACTTGCACTCTTTACAAGACCATTTATTTCTGCACCACTGAAATTTTTTGTTAGGTTTGCGAGTTCTGTTAAATCAACATCAGAATCCATTATACTATTTTCTTTCATCTATTGCAATATACATATGATACAGAATATTAGAGCGCGTTCTTCTCTAGTTATTTATTCAAAATGAGAGAGATTATACTTTGGCAGTATGAATTTTCAAGATTTGTAATCTTCCATTTTCATCCGGTAATCCAATTTCCATATGAACCTCCAATCGACCTTTTTTAATTATGAAATCAATAAAATATTTATACGATGAATTTCAGAGCATAAAGTCAAACCTGGACGCGTCAACGCCTCATCAATCAAATCTAATCGATTTGTCATTCCAATTATAAGAATATTATTTAATTGTTCTACACCATCCATCTAACGAATATAAAAGTTAATATTTAGAAAATAAATAGTGATTCATTGATTGGTCATCGATATATTTTACCTTTGCCAGCAATTGATTCACTACAGAGTCACCAACGCCAGTTCCGTCACTTTTGCCGCCACGTTGTTTACAAATTGCGTCTAATTCATCGAAAATAATGATATGCAAACCAGAATCTTCCCCTTTGGCTTTATATTCTTTTTCTGCTTCTGCAAAAAGTTTACGAATATTTGCCTCCGATTGACCCACATATTTATCCAAGATTTCGGGTCCATTTACAATTTGAGGTTCCCTGGCATTAAGCATTTTCCCAATTTGTCTTGCCATCAGAGTTTTACCTGTTCCTGGTGGTCCAAATAGAAGAATACCTTCAAAGAATAAAACCGTGAGCATCTTTTACATTTTATAACAAACACGAAATATTTGAAAAATTTTTATAAAACCTTTGACATGCTGAATTCCAAGTTTCTCGACCAAACTCGGGGGGAAAATTCGAGAAGCAAATGCACGTCGAAAGATATTACTAAATTCAACGTCTAAACCACCAATACCCATATCCTCAAACTTAAAATTAGGTTGAATTATGGTATTGCTATTGCTATGAATAAATCAATAATGATTAGTCTTTTATTATAAGAAAAGGAATGAAAATAACTATCTTAAAAACCTGCGGGAAGATCCCTTTAGGCGGATCGATGAATCCGGCGCTTTTGACCAATGAATAGCGGATTGTTGCATTAAAATACCTCTGCTTGCTACTTGTTGCCCTACAACAAAAAAAATCATTGACTTTTAATCAACTAAATGAAATGAACATATGAGAAGAATCTATCACCTTCTTGATTAGTAGTGTCTAATACTCCTTCTTGCATGGCAACAAAATCGACAACATGAACATTTCTCACTACAACTTGTAAGTTATTGCCATGAAACTCAAACAATAATATCTACAAACAAAAAATCTTGTTAAGGATATCAATAATAAATAGAATACAAAATATTTAAACATTACCTGTTCTGTGGAGAAAATTTGATTATTAAAATTCTAAAAATAGGCATTATGAGGTTAAATATATATCTTTTTGTGCACGTTAAAAAATTTGATCACATTAGTAATTAAAACTTCAAGATCACTTCACCTGGATAAACATTTTCGACATTTCCTCGGTATCGAATTGTTCTTTGTTCTCGACTTTTCTCAAAAAACCGACTTCTAAGTCTATTTTTCCGAGATAAATATTTTCTCCTTCAGGTCTATATGGGCTTACAGTAATATCTTCGTTTAGCGATAGGAAAGCCCAGCGTCTATGAAACAAAGTAGTCCCAATTTGACGAGGAGGTACACCTTCATCGGGTCTGATTAGGTAAATGTAGGATGTATAGGTAAATGTAGGATGTAAAATTAATTTACATACAAAATGATTGCGGTAAAAATTGAGCATTTCTGTTCAAGCTAATTTTACTTGATGCTAAAGACAAATCGACCGTTTACTATAACATGACGGACCGCTGGATCAAAATCTCTGGGAGAAACGAAAAGATAGTTAGTCATGGCCAATAAATCATTAGGGCAGCGGCCAACTTTCATAGGAATGCTCTGGGTTTGAGGAACATTTGACGCGTAAGAATCTTGAGGGACAGGAGAAGGAAATTGACGATAGCTTCCACCCCCTCCTTGTCTTGAAGGTGAATGATAAGGACGCGACATTGACTAGATTCGAAATGAATTGATTATGGATAAAATTCTCAAGTATTTGACATTTTGCCTATGATGCAAACCATTTATAGTCATCAAAAATGTAGATCAGTCCGAAATTTTAAATGACGACCTTCACGTGCTTTATTAAATAATTAGATTTTATTGGCTAATGTACACGTGCCTTTAGTCACATGCTTTAACTTTATTGGTTAATATAATCCTCAACTTCAAAAAAGTTGAAAAGAAGATATATAAACTTGACATTATCAAAATTTTCTGTGCAGTTTTAAAAATTTATTCATAAATAAACTAAAATTTAAAAAAAAATCTAAAAAAGAAAAATACAAAAGTACAAGAAACAGGTATTGTTATATAATGATCTTTCGTCATAATATTTTATTATTGAATTATACATATCTCATATTTTATTGAATAAAGATCAAATCATGTGAAACGAGCGAACAAGTGAGTGAACAAGCGAATGAGCGAACAAATGAATAACTAAATGAATAAGCGAACGAATATTGAACCAATAGAATTTAAGTGATATAGCGAACATGAATTTGTATAGTCTAGAAATTATATCTTGAATTTGTATAAAAGCAACATGTATCATAGTTGTTAGAATTAGATATGAACAAGTTCTTTT